CAAGCAGCCAACAGATTCTCTGACGAAGGATCTGCATTTCCTGGCTTTCCACCGGTGCTCCGTCGCAACTGGCCAAGTGCGTCTGGCCGACGTGGGCGACGGGAACTACGAGGTGCAGCAGTAGGTGCCGTGCCCTTTTGCACGGCTGGTGCGGTATTAGCGTGCTATGTGTTGGGTGCACGCAGACGAACTTTCTCCTTGTATTCTATCCCTTGGGTTCTGGGTAGACATACTGTGTGGGGTGCCCAAGCGTGAGCGCGGCAGGGGAGTGTCGAAAAAAAAAGCCCCGCCTCGCTTGGGCGCAGCCGATCTCGCCATCGACGGGAAGTTCTCGACGGATTGGTCGAAGAAGTGGGCTTCTGCAGTTCGACGGAAGTTGCGGTCGAGCAGGCGCTGCTCGACAGAATTTGGTCGACGATCTCTGCGCGACGAGCTCTGGCGACGATCTCAGCGCAACAATCTCCTGTCGAAGAGCGCTGGTCGAAGAACTCTGGTCGAAGAGTTCTGGTCGTGAAGCTCTGCTCGGCGAACTTTGTTCGATTCAGCATAGTTGAGCTGATCGATCAAAGTTGTAGAGTTGTGCGAAACTTTCGCCCAGGAGGTTTTGGCGAAGTTCTACATGCGGAACGGCATCACGTAGTTGACGGTGCGCCTCTGGCGAAACTGACGACACGTTTTCTACCTGACACCTGCGTAGTGTGGTTGACGGTGAAACCGCCAACCTGCACCTACTTGGTAGGTGCGCACATCTGCGCAGATAGACAACCTGCAGATAGTCACCTGCGACTGCAGTGCTGGCAGACCGCGCGCTGACAGACCACTCTGCTACAGCGTTGGCAAGACGCCCTTCTGTTGCGCAAGTTGAGTTCGCCCTTGCTAGGAGTTCCATGCCATTCTAGTCCTTTTGTTCTGCATGCCTCAATTGTACTCTATTTTATCAATTTTTTATTGCTAATTTTTTCTTTCAACTTCCTTAGTGGAAACTTTTGCCAAAACTCCAACATTCTTTTGCAAGTTGTAAGTACTCTAGCAGAGCGCTACGATCACTCGCACAACCCTGTGCCCTCTTCTCTAGTCGACTCCCGTTGTGTAGTGACTCTCCACACTTGGTTCCACGCACTGTACATTCAGCCTCTTCCCTCCCTTCCTTTCCGTTCCTCCTCCCAAGCGAATTTCTTTCCCCTCGCTACGCCCCCTTTTCCCCCTCCTTGCTGCCTTCTTACCACCATCAGCCCTTCAAGACACCAAGCCCCCCTCTCCCCCCCCCCCATCTCTCTCTTCCTCCCCTCTCTCTCTCTCTCTTCTCCCCGCCTCCCCCCCTCACCCACATCCTCTTGTTCTGCCCTCCCTGCCTCTCTTCCACCCCCTCGCATGGCCCTCTCCTCCCACCTCCGTGCAACTGGTTTCCTCCCTCTCGTGCCTCCCTTGCATCGCTCGCCCCCCTGCTCACCCTCTCCCCGCCCCTTTTCCTTGCCCTCAGATGGCCCAACCCGTGGCCGTTGCTGCCCATCCCCTTGTCCACTCTTCTCCCTTGCTCCCCGTACACCCAAGCCCCATCCAACCGCCCCCACCCTCCCTCGGCTGCCCGTTTCCGCTCTCCACTCCCGCGACCGCCCAACGGTCGTGCACACTGGGCGTTTCTTCGCGCGGGCAAGCGCGCCCCCCCACCGTGCTGAGCCGTCATTCGGGCAAAAAAAACTAGGTTGCTAAAATCGGCATTTCTTTTTTTGCTAAGGGGCATAAATGGGTACAATAGAGAGGTCACCTAGCCTAGTATTGCTCTCGCATGCTGGCGCTCTTACCTTGACCTAGTTCTTACCTACTAAGCTAGCCTCTAAGGAGGTTGCTTGAGAACAAGGCGATTGTGTTCGTAGTTTCTATAAGTGTTGTTAGAAGTTTTAACGGCTCAAATTTTATTTTACGACGGTCTAGTTCGACGGTACGGGGCCGCGAGTTTCGCGCGCGACCCTCGCGACCTCGGGAAACGGAACGAGCGGGGTGTTACGGAACCGCTTTCCCGACCCCGCCATTGCGGGGAGGCTACAGCGGGTGTAACGTGAGGTGGAGCGTCGACGCGAAGTTCGCCCGCGGAGGTAACATCGCGCGCGGATCACTTCCCCAGCTCCGCCAGACACGGTGTTCCCGCCCATCCCCCTCTCTCGACAATCTGCTCCCATCCCCCCGCTCTAATAATCTTTCCGCTGCTTTTCTCTCTCGAAGTGAATTTCCTTAGCTTTCGCCGTAGTTATTTCTCACGCTTAACACGGTCGATAAGCCAGCAATAAGTCTAGCTTTAAGCCTCACGACTACCATCCGCGACTGAGTCTTCTATTCTCCGTTTCCACCGTTCACATCGCTAACGAAACCCTAATCAATAATTTCAGGGCGAGCGCCGACGTTATTTTTGTCATTTCGACTCCTTGCAACCCTAAACACACGGGGTGTTTAGCGCCACGGAACGGCAGCGCGGAGAGAGGCGAAATTGCTACGATTAAGCGGCTCGTTACGCCGCCCGTTACGCTTGACATTTCCGCCACCCGAAGCGCGTTTTCTGCCTAGCGCGTTTTCGCCGCCTAATTTTGCACACAAGCCGCCTCACTCCCCCTTGCTCACGACCCCCCTGCCATGCCTCTTCGCGCGCGCGTGCGTGCCCTTCTTCCGCGTCGTATTCTTACCCGCGCAGTCACCCACGTAGTCACTTCCTTGCCCACACCGCCACTTCCCCCCTTGCACGTCCCTGTTTCACCCACCCCGCTGCCTAGCCTCTACCTTTTCTTGCGGCCCTTAGCTGCCGTCCTGTCTGGCAGGTGGCGCTCTGAAAACAGGAGGAATTAAATTAACAGAAAATAAAACAAAACCAGAATATCCGCACGGCAGCTTACGCTTCGTTTTCCCCAGCCCTTTTGAGGACTTCATCCAGTCCACATCCCCCTCTCCATTCCACCTCACTGCACCATACCTCTGCCCTTTGCGCACCACCATCCCCGCCCCTTTCCCCCACTTCCCCACCACGGCCCCCAACAGGTTTGTTTTCCGTCCAGCCCCTTCTCTCCCTGCCCCCAGCACTTTCGTGCACTGTCCTTTGTCATCCCTCCCTGTCCCACTCCGTACCACCTCCCCCCTCCCCTCCCAGCTTCTTCCCATCACCACCCACATGTTCCCCCACTTCCCTGCCCACAACGTACCTCCCTCTCCCCTCCTCCCCCTCCCGTCTTCCCCACTTCCGCACCTCTACGAGCCGTACTCCCTCCTCCAGCCTCCCTTTCCCCCCCAGCTGCTCCCGTATCCAGCAGGGGCTGCACCTCTGCATCCCGTCCTGCCAGGCCCTTCAGTGACCGACCTGCCGCCACCCGGCACCACACTGCATTTCCCACCCCCTCCCGCGCCCTACACCCCTTGTCCCTGCTCCCTGTGCTGCCCACCCCTCCTCCCCACCCTCTCTCTGCCTTTTCCTGGCACCAGCCTGCCCTTCGCTTCTCCAGCGGTCTACACCCCCTGCCCCTGCTCCCTCTGCTCCCTGTGCCGTCCAGCCCCCCACCCCAACCTCCCTCCGCCGTCCCTTTGGCCAGTGCCATCGGCACTCCCTCCCCCTGGGGTCCACCCCTCCGCACTTATCATTCACCCATCACGATCTCCCTGTTCCCCCCTGCCCCTTGCGTTCAGGCCCCCCATTCTCTTTGCCATCATCCACAGCTCCTCGTTCCGCTGCCCCCTCTGCCCTCCCACGCTCGAACTTCTCGCCCCTCATCCGTTCCAATACCCATTGCCGGGCCTACGCCAGCCCTGCCACCCGTCCCCTCACCAACTACCCTGTCTCCCTCCCGCCCTGCCCCCCCACCCCCTCTGCCCCCCCTGCCTCACTAGTCCGTCCACATCATCCCTGGAATTGTGTTCCCTCCTTTCCTCTTCAGCCCTAGCACCCTCCCCCACGCTCTGCTCTCCGCCCGCCCCATTACTCCCTCTTCCCCCACCCTCCCTGCTACCAGCCACAACTACCACTACCTCTGGTCTCTCACCCCCTCCAACAGGCTGCCCCCTCCTACCCTCCTTCCAGTCCACTCCCCAACCCCCTCCAGCCCCCTGTTTCGCTCCCCCCGGCACCCTTGGTCCATCCCGCGAGCCTGCACCTTCCCCCTCCACCTCCCCCACACCTCCTAGTCCCCCCCCTCCACGCAGCATAATCCCCCCTTCTATCTGTCATCCGTTGTTAACCACCACCCTCCTGCCCCCCATTCCAGGAATTTTTGGTCCACCCAACTCAGCCTTCCCCTCCTGAGCTCTTGCCGCCCCTTGTAATCTCCCTCCCTACCCCACCGTCCCCCTCCCACAGACACCGATACCCCCCGTCCCTCTTACCTCTCTTTACAATCTTCCTCCGACACCCCGCCTCCCTTCAGGGCACTACCAGCCAGTACCCAAGCCGTCACTCACCTTTACTCTCTTCTTCCTGCCCACGGCTACCCTCTAGGCACTCTGTTTTTTCACCCCTCCTCTCACCCTGCTCCTCCAACTCTCCCACTCCCTCTCTTCCTGTCTTTGCAGTCCCCGAACCGGCACCCTACAGCTCATCCCCTTCTCCCCCCCTTTCCCCCTGTCCAGTGCCCATCACCTCCCGCACAGTCCTCCCCTTCCTCCCACACCCCATATACCCCCCAAACCCCACCCCTTCATACCCCCTCCCTGCCCTGACCATGCAGCCACCTTAGTCATTCATGCCACGCCGCTCCCCCTGGGGAGAGGAGGCTGAGCCCGGATCAGTCTGACGCTCGGGCAGGACCTCAGGCCGCCCTACCCCCTAAACCCCCCGTTCATCTGCTAAGAAAAAACCGGTCACCAGCGACCAGGCAGTCACCGGTGACACACACACTGACTCCGGGGTCAGAAACGCGCGCTAGTCGAGGAACGAGAGGGGGCTCACCCACGCTCTAAGACGCGCCACAATCCACCTGTCCCCCCATAGCCCCCCTCTCCAGGATGCGTCAACGGTGCAGCCCAGCAGGATGCGGGGCCGCTTTCCACCGCACCCACCCGCACCCATAACAGGCCCCACCCCCACTGGGGGGCTGAAAGGGAGAGCAAGACAGGCCCCACCCATGGCCAAGGGAGGAGAGGAGGGGAAAGGGAAAGCCAGTGCTCCGGACCTGGACGTGCATGAAAGTAACACTGCGCGTGAGGCCGAGGCGGGCAGGTCTGCTATGGGAAAAGGGGCAGGGGTAGCGGGTGTGACGGCAAGGGAGGGATGCCGGGGGGGCAGCAAGGGTTACGGCGGGGATAGCAGAGGCTCCTGAAAAGGCGTTAGGGACGGTGACTCTGGCAACGGAATGGGTAGAGGAGGAGGCCATGGAATCAGTTTCCGCAGGAGAGGGAGTCGCGGGGAGCGCAGCTGAGCCGGCTGCAGGGACCGCAGCAGGTGAGGCGGCACAGTTCGCATCAGGTGGGGCTACAGAGACCGCAGTAGGTGAGGCTGTGGAGACCGCAGCGGGCGGGGCAGCAGGGTCCGCAGCAAGTGAGGTTGTGGGGACCACAACAGGTGAGGCAGTAGGGATCGCAGCAGGTGAGGTCGCAGGGACCGCAACAGGTGGGGCTGCAGGGACCACAGCAGGGGATGCGGCAGAGACTGCAGCAGGTGAGGCTGCAGAGAACGCACCAGGTGGGACCGTAGAGACCGCAGCAAGGGAGGCTGCAGGGACCGCGGCAGGTGAGGCTGCAGGGACCACAGCAGGTGGGGCTGCAGGGACCGTGGCAGGTGAGGCTGCAGGGAGCACAGCAGGTGGGGCTGCAGGGACCGTGGCAGGTGAGGCTGCAGGGAGCACAGCAGGTGGGCTGCAGGGAGCAAATCAGGGGCTGCAGGGACCACAGCAGGGGCGGAAGGTGCCACACTTGGGGCGGGTATAGGGGAACCTCGCGCGCGGCGCTCTACTTGGGGCGGGTATAGGGGGGAGGGCCAGGGGGGCTGCAGTGGGGGAGAGTGTGGCGGGGTCTGGGGCAAGGGAGAGCATAGCCCCGGCTGCAGCAGAGAAGGGTGCATCAGGTGGTATTGTGAGAGAGGAGACAGCAGAGAATGTAAAGGCAGAAGGCAGGGCTGCAGCTGACACAACAGCGGCCATAGCACGCCCACTGGGGGCGGCAGGGGGCGCAGCAAGTACGGTAGGGGCCATAGCAGGGCCTGCAGGGGTTGTATCTGGCAGCAATATGCCAGCAGGGGAGACAAGCTCAGGGGTCGTAGGGACAACAGAGGCAAGAGGGGCGGGTGGGGTTCTGGAGGGGGGGCAGTGATAATGTTGGGAGGGGAGATGATAGAGGACGTGATGCACATCGATGGGCCGCTGGCCCAATACCTCACTCCGGACGATGAGGCCGACCCAGGTCCCCTACAGCCTCATGACGGGGTTCCCCCTTTCCCCCCCATGCCTGACCCTACGTTGGCAGATGCACCGATGGAGGAGCTAGAGGAGACTCTGAGGACAGAGCCCCACGAGGGCACTCTCATCTCTACCCCCGACCCCTCACCCCACCCTCCTGCAGGAACATCACACCCCTGCCCCCACCCTCAGGGGCTCCCCCTAGCTCCGAGGGGGGCAGCCAGGGCCCTGGCCTTTTTGGCAGAGCCGTGCACCCCGACCCCTACACTTTCTCACGGCCAGCCCCCCCCTCTTTCCCCAACGCCTGACCTCACACTTGCAGGTGGTCCTACGGGGGAGCGCGCCGGTGCAACAGGGGCAGAGCCGCCCAAGTGCACTCCCTTTCACGCCTCTCACCCCTCCCCGTTCCTTCGCTCACCCCTTCCCTCCCCACCAAGGCCAGCACACTCATGCCCCCACCCGCAGGAGTTCCTCCGAGCACCAAGAGGAGCAGCCAGGGCGCTGGCATTCCTATCAGAGCCATGCTCCCTCACACCAAAATCCACTCAATCATCTCCTGCCGACCTCCTATCTCCCGCACCAGGTCCCCCCCCGCCCGGGGCTACGCACATCTCGGAAATTGAGGCATCTCTCCAGCCATATCGTTCCCCCAACCCTTACATACACCCGAACCACCGAAGCCGCCGTGCACCCCCGACTCTTTCACCCAATGAGCGGCCCTCCCAACATCCCCCCCCCCCAAAGCAGCTAGGTCTCACCTGCAGAAACCCGTGGAGTCTCATGGGGGCGACGACACCTCGGTGGAGGGGCCTACAGGAGAGGCCACCAGGGGGGGGGGTTCTGGCCCCAACTTCCAGCATGGGGGCACAACCTCAAAATCATCTTTCGCACTTGTTCCTTCACCCTCGGCCACTACAGGGCCATCACAAACCTCCCGCCCCCCCCCACCGCTTGCACCTCGCTCTTACCTTCACGCCACTCTAGCGCCTCGGCCCCCACCTACAACCCCCGCGCTCGGCCCGGTTTCCCATGAATGGCCCCGTTGGGCAGCCATTGCCCCCTTCATACCGCGCGCCCAGCATGGCGATGTCATGGGGAGGGAGGGGATACACACGGAGCTTCCCCCCACCCACCAACCACCCATCCCTCCCCCACCCATCCCCTTCCCCCACATTCAGGAAGGGAAAACGAACACCAAGCCGACCGATTGCGGAAGAACAAAGTTAGAGGAGGCAAAGGGTCAGCTCACCCTCTCCCCCCTCCATTCCCACCCCTCCAGACACCCCCCACCTCCCCACATCCCGCCGAACCTACACCAGGTCCTACACCTACAGGCCAACAACCAAGCTCACACTCCCCTCCCGCGCCTGCTCCTCCACATGGCAGCAGGAACGAATCCGCCCACTCACTTTCAGGCCACCTCTCCCTCCCTCTGAACCCGCCCCAGGTGGCGGCAGCCGCATACGCTGCCGGTACGGAGGCCGATGGGATGAGGACGAGCCCATGGGTGACATCACCAACTCTTCCACCCATACCCCCACCCCATTCGTGTCGATGTCCCCCAGCCGCAACCCATGGCCATTGAGGAGGGCCAATGGGATTCTCTAGCGCGGGGACCACACCCGAGCTCCGCTCAGCCAGCACGCCCCACCCCACCCTCTACCCTACCACCCCTCTTACCCTCACAAGGTAGGTAGGTTGCGGGTACACCACATGAGGTGAGGGTTGCCATTTCAGACCTGCTGGCGATACAGAGCCGCAGCAGCACCCCAAGAGCCCACACCCTGCCAGTCCCACAGGCTCATCTCTGGACGTACGCAGAGGTCACTCGCTCAGTCTTTTCTTCTAACCCCCCGACTGCTCAGCCAGGTTCGTCACTCCCGTTCCCGATGGAGACGGACCTGGTTCTGGGGCCAGGTCGCTCGCACCCAGAGGTGGTGGCGCCTCCCCCCATTCAGCCGGTTATCCACACACTACGCGAGGCGCAGGAGGACACCAGCATCAGGTTCGAGGCCTCCCCCCCCACCGACACCCCTCCACCTGGGATAGCAGAGCCGCCACCCGGACCCCACACTGTTGAGGGAGGGGGGCGCACCATGGCACGCACTTCAGACTCACCGCCACAACCCCCACCTCTGACTTCGGGGCCCGGACTGCTTGGGGCCCCGGCCCCACCCAGTGTGGCACCACCACCATCTCCGCCGCCACCCCTCCTACACGGGGCCGGTGAGTCCTCCCTTCCCCTTATCCCAGGCGATCCTCCTCGTGCTCAGGTCGCCCATGGGATCCCTTCTACAGCCAGTTCCGACACCACGGCCCCGATCGACCCCATCGACACGGCGACTTCACCCGACCAGGCCGTGATATGCCCCACCTTCAGGAACCCCCCATCGAACCGACGCGCGCTCCAGCACCACACTCTCTTCTGCCATCCTGCGGACGCAGCTCGCAGGGCACACGCCGTCCATGACGCCACCTCGATCCTCCCTTCCCTCTCTCAGCCCCGTGCGACCGGAATACAGTTCACTGACGCACAGTGGCAGACGCTCAACTCGGTGGACTGGACGGGGTACCTCTTGCCCGAGCACATTCATGCACGCCCTCTCTGGCGTGTCTCGGAGAGGGTCCGTGGAGGATATCTCGACGTCCTTAGTGCGATCCTAGCCCGCATTGCCCAGGACCAGAAGGCTGCTGGCCCTACCCTCCTCCTCGCTGCAGCACCGACCCTTTTCCTCGCTCAAGCGACGCCACCCGACCGCTCGCACACGGCTGCCATTGCAGCGCGCATCTCCCGCTTTGGTCGAGGTGAGTGGGATGAGCTACTCTCGGATGCACTAGGCCGCTGCACCCCCCTCCCTCGGCACACAGGTCATCGGTCACGCACCACCACCGATCCCTCCACAGCAAATTAGCGACGCATTGCACGTTGCCTTCGCCTGGCAACGTGCAATGAGACGTCACGGGCCTGCGCGGCTCTCGAGTCCGCAGAGGCAGCCCCAAATACACAGGGGCCGATTCAGCGCCTGCGGTCGAAGCACCCCCCCGCGGAGAGGCCGACCCCAGCTTGGCTGTCAGGTTTCCAGGGTTCTGCTCTCTTGCTCTCGGTGGATCACTTACGTTGCGCGATCTTCATCGACAGCTCCGCGGGGCTCCTCGGGAGGACCGTCCGGTTGGGTCGCTGAGCATCTCCGAGACACTTTCCTAACTTTCCCTCAAAGTCTCCATTTCCTCCTGGCTGTGTACCAGCAGTGGCTCCGAGGTCGTTGCGCTCCAGCTGCACGCTACTTGCTAGCGTCCTCCACCCCCGTGGCTTTAGAGAAGTTGAACATAGATGTTCGGCCGATTGCCATTGGCGAGGTGTTGGTCCGCATTCTCTCGCGAGCAGTCTGTCTCCAGCTTCGTGACCAGATGGCGAGAGTTTTCCTGGCGTCGCAGCAATTCGGGGTGGGGGTGACGTGCGGGACGGAGGTCGTGGTTAGGGGCGTCCGCCGTGCTCTGGCTGACCACTCAGACAGGGTGGTCCTGCAGCTGGACGTGGCGAATGCCTTTAACTCTTTCCACCGAGACAGGATGTTTCAGGCTCTGCAGGCCAGTCCGGAGTTTGAGTGTCTGATCCCCTTCATCGGCCTTGTTACGGGACGCCCTCGGACCTCCACTACAGGTCAGGTACGGGAGTGGTTACGATGCACTCGGAGCGTGGCACTCGCCAGGGAGACCCCCTCAGCCCCTTCTTGTTCGCTCTCACACAGCGCCTGGCTTTGGAGCCTGCCCTGACAGAGTTGGATGTCCAGCTCTGGTCGTACGCCGATGACACGTACGTGCTAGGTCCTCCAAACAGGGTGCTCAGCAGAACCCCCTACACCACTTTGCCGAGATAGGGTTCTGCTAATTTGCTGTGGAAGGATCGGTGGTGGTGCGTGACCGATGACCTGTGTGCCGTGGGAGGGGGGTGCGGCGGCCTAGTGCATCTGAGAGTAGCTCATCCCACTCACCTCGACCAAAGCGGGAGATGCGCGCTGCAATGGCAGCCGTGTGCGAGCGGTCGGGTGGCGTCGCTTGAGCGAGGAATAGGGTCGGCGCTGCAGCGAGGAGGAGGGTAGGGCCAGCAGCCTCCGGGTCCTGGGCAATGCGGGCTAGGATCGCACTAAGGACGTCGAGATATCTTCCACGGACCCTCTCCGGGACACGCCGGAGAGGGCATGCATGAATGTGCTCGGGCAAGAGGTACCCCGTCCAGTCCACCGAGTTGAGCGTCTGCCACTGTGCGTCAGTGAACTGTATTCCGGTCGCACGAGGCTGAGAGAGGGAAGGGAGGATCGAGGTGGCGTCATGGACGGCGTGTGCCCTGCGAGCTGCGTCCGCAGGATGGCAGAAGGGGGTGTGGTGCTGGAGCGCGCGTCGGTTCGATGGGGGGTTCCTGCAGGTGGGGCATATCACGGCCTGGTCGGGTGAAGCCGCCGTGTCGATGGGGTCGATCGGGGCCGTGGTGTCGGAACTGGCTGTAGAAGGGATCCCATGGGCGACCTGAGCACG